TATGTTGAGATAAAGCAGCAAAATATGCTGCTAAACAATAAAATAAAAAAAAAATGAAAGTAACAAATACTGATGTTGATTCCATCTAGTGCAGAGCTGGGATGAGAACTGAATAATCAACGTTTCTGCCTAAGCATTTTGCTAAAATAAACACTGATTTTATTATAAACAAGCATCAATTAAATCCATTCAGTCAGTGTGCCATTATTTCAGATGCCACCCATCCAAATTCGGCATGACTACAATCAATCCTTCTAACTTTTTTTTTAAGGCGAAGCTGTATCCTGTTTCTTATTAAGAAATCTGTAGGCAATTTTGCCATGCCAAAACCAGGTACACAGAGTACTGTATTACTGGTCAATTACATGTTGATACGGAATATAATAACTAAAAAGAACAATTAATAATACTAGAAAAATTAAAAAACTGCATAGCAAGTCCCTTGAGAATCAACTGGCACTTACTATAGCTGATTACCTTTGAAGGGGGACTTATTACTTTGTCTTAATAAAGACTTCCAAAGTCTCCTATGTTGGCTATGTTTTGGATAATCTTAGTGATTGCGATTCCTTCCACACAGTATTACATCATTTGGTAGAGCTATCTGTGTTTTCAGAAGTTGCACAGTACTTGAACTTCAGGATGAAAAATGCTGCAAGTATGTAATGATTACACTTCGGGAATAAATACTCTTGTGATTAATGTAGGAATATTCACAGTGTGATGCCAAAGAGAGATTCAAGTTCGCTACAAGTGAACTAACTGGATATTTAACAGCATTGTACATTACCTATATCCGTACTTTGGCTAATAGTATCCCTATTAACATAGGGATACTCTTTCTGCTGCATTAAGATAGGTTTAATTTTAGCACAGATATTACCCCACTGCATAGTGTAGTCTAGACAATCCCAAAGAATCCAAGAGCTCCAAGATCTCTTCTTGTCTCTGCTACAGAAACCATTACTTTTCAAGTCTGAGTGCATGGATTTATATACTTAGAAGACTGCTTTCAAAATGAAGCACAAAGCTTTGTTAATATTAACAGCAACAGGAAGTGAGCTGCTTCTACAACTCCAAACACTGGGACACACTGAAACACTTCAGTACCAGATTGCTCTACCTGGCCTTTATATGTTGTACTAGACACCAAAATACGCAACTGGGAAATTGCTGAACTCATTTCACATCTCCCAGACCTCCATTTTCTCTGGTGATATATACATTTGTGTGGTAATGTGTACTGTCATAACTTTAGCCATTTAAAAAAAACAACTCTGGCAAACTAAAACGAGAATCATGGTTACTTGCCAAAATATGAAAGCTGATTTTTTTTAGGCTGTAATTAGATAGAACCCATTACCATAACAAGCTGCAAAGAGCAGTATTCAAAAGGCACTAACATTCATACTGAGTAGTACCAAAAATATAAACAACAGCAGAAATATTACAACTTTTGTTTCAAACCAAAGCCTTTCTCTGTAAGATGAAGATGAGATATAGCATCACACACACATTGCTCTGTCTGCCTGATCAAGCTTTGTTGTAACCTTCTCTGGAGTGTCCTGCACAAAATCCCATCAGAAATCAACATTCTAATCCAGGACTTCAGATAATTCTAATATACCAGCAGATTTTGAACTATATCCCTCAGATCATTAGGCACACCAACACCAGCACTTTGTCAATAAATACGTTGTGCTTCCCACTGCTATCACTGCAGAAACTGTTTAAGAAAGCAATTACCCAGAGGAGTCTTATCCTTACCTTGCCCACACCTTTAGCTCCAGAAAATGACATTCCTTAATATCATCAGCATTCCCTTTCCGCATGCAACACTGCTGAGTAACTACAGGACATTACAAAAAAACCCAAACACAAATGTTCAAACAAGCCACCCACTTTCATTTGAGAGCAAAACTAGAAAAGAATCTAAGATTACTAAATCAGATCTTGAAACAGAAGGCTGTATCTAATAAAATACACAGCTTTGGCAGACTTCTGACAGATGGAACTCCCACTGTTCCAATATAAGAAGTTGTATTTACAGTCAAAGCACAAATAAGCATTCATAGATACATCATAGGGCTTAAACTCTCTCTTCCATCTCCTGAAAAGCCAAAACCTACATAAATTTTAGAACAAATCTACTGAAAAATTGAACCTCCTAATTTTGTCTCAACAGAATCTGTTTAAAAATAATCAATAAAAATGTGCTACCTTTCTAGAATTTCTAAGTACACAGACCAAAACATGTACTATACTAGCCAAAAATAATCCTGCTTACCCAGAGTATTTAAACCAGTCTATATTTTTCTTTCTTTAAATGGCATTTATCCATAAAGCTAGCAATATGAGTTGGCACAGGTTCTATGTGCATACTAGAACACACATATTTCATACCTCAACAGCAATTCTTCGGGACCAGCAGTACCCCAGCAGTAATCAAGTCTTGTACGCATCTTTTAATACAATTCTGTATTTCCTGCTTTCAGATGAGAGAATTACGATCATGAAGAAACAAAACAAGCCAGAACACAGCCCAGGCAAGAAACGTTCAACGTTTCAAACATTCCTCCCTACCTACTGAGCAGTATCTAGAGGTGGTAAACACAGTGACAGATATTTAAGTCTTAGCAACTTTCAGAACATTTTAACTGTTCTTAACAGATCAAGTACTTCTGCACAATTCCAAACTTGTTTGATGACTTAGCACAAAGCAACAATCCCTATGTCCTACTTTATTAATAACCAATATTATAATCTACAAGATTGCACTATTTCCCTTTTCCACCCAGTCTTTAAATCAATACTTAAGCTGCACAGCTGAGCATTCAAACCAGGAAAAGTCTGAATGACTGTGGTCCACAGCTTTATTCAGCCTCTCTGTGCACAGATCTTCTGATAGGGTCTTTAATTACTTAAAGTAATTGAAGATTAAAGATTCCAGCAGAGTCCCCAGCACTCAAGAGGATGGATATGCAGGGCGTGGAACTACCAAAGCCATTTGTAAGAATCTGTTTCATTTGTTACAGATTTTAGGAAGATGTTGACAAAGAAGGACAGAAATGATATCATAAGCTTCTATGTCACAAAAACTGAACACTGGGTTTTGAAATTTTGATGGAATTTTTTATTTCTCCATTAGCATTCTAGCTGGCTTAAGCACATCCCTTTCACAGGTGTTTGCTAACTACTGTTCCTCATTTTCTAGGTGAGTGGTCTGAGAAACACAGGCAAAAAATACCAACATGCAAAAAAGCTCAGTACTCGGCCACTCTTGATACTAGCGAGAAGCGCGTTCTGAAGTATTCAACTACTTAAAATGCAAAATTACTTGGAATGAGCCACAGTAGACACTTCACATTGGTTAAGGCAAATCAACAGTCTTGACATAACCTGGGCTTTACAGCTTTACAGCTGTAAATAAGGTATAAAAATACCCCTCCAGTATGCTATGAAAACTCCACTGCTACAGCCTGGACACCACAGAAAACCCCAAAATTGGTTGCAGAAGTGTTTTAAAAATTGGCACCAAAGTACACAACTACATACCCAACATAAATTTTAACCATACCTCCTTTAATAAACACCTTTAGGCTCATACAAGACATGAAACACAAGATACTCAGGAAATAGACTTGTGGAAGAAGAGACTCCATCAGTATGGACACACATACGGAGCCAAATTAAAGACATCATAGGCAACCCTAAACCTGGCTCATCCCAGTTTGAAATCCTGATTGCTACAATCTTTATAGTTAAATATGTGTATCTAAATATATATTTAGATAATAATTTATTCTAATAATTTGCTATAAATAAAATTAAATGAGAGATTTTCCATCAAACCCATTTTCAAAGGAACTGTCATTGACTGCTTGGTTATTAAAGAAAAGTCACTAAGGAAATGGCTTACTTACACAGGCAACAGACAAAAACCAGCAGATTGTTTTGACATAAGTTGACACAAATGCACACAACTCCCTTCTTACATTCATCAGAATTATCTTCGAAGTCCAAAATCAAAAACTTTTAGCAGAATGGATGTGCTTTACATCCCAGATGTGACTACACAGTGACAATCTAAAAATTCAAGTTATTTTCTTGTATAATAAAAAAGCTGTACAAGTAAACCAGAGCTGAAGTCTAGATGGCACACAGCAGTGCTGGTCAAGGATATAGCTATATTAAAACATTCCCTTCACCTGAGATACTTTACCCTGCATACAGCTTCTGACAGCCATAGGACTCAAATCTGTCTTTACGAACCTACACTACACTGTATGGACTTAGCCAGCATAAGTAACAACTGATGAAAGGTCTTCTAGAACTCATCATATCTTGCAAATGGTATGCAAAGACATCCAGCAACCTAAATTATCTTTTAAATAAAGATAAAGTAAGTGCCTGTGCTTCTCTTCAACATAGCATCCTCTTTTTTTTTTTTTTTTAGTAAGACTAACAAGTACATATTCAAGACTGGAAAATAAGAATCTATTCCTTGATAAATGGTACTGATATATATATAGAAAATCAGTATCAACTCTTCTATAGTCGTGTTTCTCTCACTGATCATTATATTGTTTGCTGTTTGAGTTTGGGGGGGTTTGGTAGGTTTTTTTTAGGTTCTGAGCTGCAGCTACTTTATGAGCAGGTATCTTAATCTTTCTCCTTCCCATTCTGACTTTGTCATTCTATCCTTTACTCACAATGATTCCTACTGCAAAGTTTACAGGCAACTAATTATATTTTACTTCACCTACAATACCTACACATTGTGTAAACTGCATGATCTGCATACACAGATTTTTATCTAACATACACTCTTTAAATAAGGAAACATTGCAAATGTGTACATTTTCCTTTTGAGGAATTAAATCTTTCAGTGCAAGGCTAGTTAAATCAAATATTTCTATTTAACAGTGTTTCAGTGCTCTCAAGTAAAACTGGGAGATAATAAATGTTAAGTGACATACAAGAAGTACTCTTGCAAGCTTAATGGTTTTCTCTTTCCCCTTTAATACTTAGCACTCCTTCGCTACTGTGATTTTGTTTAAAGTAAGAGTAGATAAATGCTTCTCCAGTTATCTGTTCTTTTAATGTTTCTTCTTTGGTCATCCATGTTTACCTTCATCTGTTATATTCAAAATGTTAGGGAAGAGCTTTCAGTACTGATTCTAAAATCAGACTGAACATTTAGCATTGTACAAACCTAAAAAAGAATACACAAAAGTGTTTCAAAGAGTCTCTTTTCCAAGAAGAATGTTCAACAAAATTCCCAGTTTCTCCATTTCTCTTCTTCTGGTCCCACTTGTAATTCATTGTCAAATAACATTTACAACTTTTCCCTTTCAAACACATTTTTTTCTTTTATTTTGCATTTGCTATCAGTTTGGGAATTTTCAACTATCAAGTATGTTCATTTAATTCACTTAAAGTGTTTTACTATGACTGCAAAAGGAGAACAAGAACTGCTCTGTGCTAATACTGTGGCTTTGAGCAGGCTTAGAGACTAAAAATTTCCAGAAATTAATACCACTGTTCTAAAATAACAACTTAATCCTACAAACCTGTTTAAATTTTCCTCTGATTTTTTCCAGATCTTCTTGCAGCTTATCGTAAGTAGGATCTTCATATGGGGATTTCTGAATCATCCTTATTAAGGAATCCAGAGCCCTTATCTTTTTGCTATAAAAGATCAAAACAGAAAATACAATGAGCCTACTGCAGAAAATCTTCCAATCTATCAATATGAAAATTATACCAATACTTATATATAATTCAGTGTGTAGGACCCAGCCCTCCATCCTTCTTTACTTCAACTTCCATCCTTCCCTACTTCAACTTCTCCCATTTAGCTCACTGAGAGTGTGTATTTGATAGATATTTAAGCCGTAATCAGAAATTCAGCTGTAGCACAACTGACAAAGTCAAAGTTTCCCTTTTAACTTAACTGCTAAAAGTTGAGAAATATTCAAGAATCTTCAGAAATACTGATTAGATGACAGAGCAAACTAAGGAAACCAATAAAAAAGCTCACCAGAACACATCAAAACAGCTGACATATGGTGGCAATTCTGTCAGATAAATTAATCAACAGTGGATAGGAAAAATATACAAAGAAAAGAATGAAAGTAATACAAAAATGTAGGTTGAAAGGGACAGCTGAAGCCATCTCGTCCACCTTCTACAGAAGCTGGCCCAACTTCAAAGCTAGGTAAGGCTGCTCAGGGCAGATTCAGAATCCAAGCAGATTCTGAAAAGCTACAAAGATGAGCCTTCTAGAGTCTCTTTGGACAACTTGTCCCTGTGCTCAGCTGCTTGCATTGGAAAGGGACTTCTCCTTATGCCCCATGAGAACTTGTTTCAAATGGTGAAAGTTGCCTGTGGTCCTTTTACTGTACAATTCCGCAAGGAACATGCCTCCACCTTACCTAGAATTTCCTCTTTTGTGGTACCACTAGGTATCTCCCTTACCTTCTTTTCTGCAGGCTGACGAAACCAAGGTCCCTTACCCTCTTTTCAGTATCACATGCTCCAGCATATTATACCACCCTAGGGCCCTCTGCTCACCTTTCTTCTAGTTTTTCAGTATTTCTTTTGTACTGAGCAAGAAGCAAAAGTGGATACCGTAATTTGAAACAGTATTAAAGACCAGTAAATCTTTTTTTTTTTAACCTTACCTGTTCTTTTCATCTGTGCATTTCTGGAGCAGACACTGCCATGTCCGTGCAAACCCAAGGTAGTAGCCAATCTGAATGTCGGGGGAGAAATATACGTATGTGGTATAAACAGTGTATATATATACAGTATATATAGTCAAACAGAAATAAAGCACTACATTGTAACCCTTTCTTCAGGAAACAAATCACTGGATACACTGGATTCCTGTTTCTATGCTAGGAAGTTCAATAAATTAGGGTGGAATAAATGAAGGCTACCTGTGTTACAGACACTGAAAACTTCTTGTAAGGATCTGCTCGGTAACAAAGGATAATAAATGATAAACTTGGTAGTGTTCAATAATCCCTGGCAGTGTTCAGGGCCAGGTTGGATAGAGCTTGGAGCAACCTGGTCTAGTGGAAGGTGTCCCTGCCTATAGCAGGGGGTTGGAACTGGATGAGCTTGAAGATCCCTTCCAACCCAAACAAGCCTGTGATTCTGTGAAACCTGAACATACAAGACAAGTTAAGGTTGTTCAACAGCACTCTCCAGTCCTTTCATTTCTAGGAAGGCTTACCGATTCAGTGTGTGTGCCAACACACAGGACTGACTCCCATGTTCTAAACAACAGTGCCTCAACTAATCAACTCTCCCACTATTAGAAATAACAAAAAGTGTAACAGAGACATCAGAACTGCCCCTTGATGGTTCTCCATCCAACATTCCATGTTTTTCTCTAATGCTGAGCCACAGGAGACAGTACAGGAGCACCTTCAGCCACAGTTTTGGGTTACAGAAATAATTGTATAGTCCATCCTAATTTTTTTCTGAGCAAGCTTGTTTGAATTGGTTTCTTCTTTATCCTCGCTCTCAAAACAAAATAAAATCAAAATCCCATCTAGAAAATAAGTTCAGGAAACATAAACTCACCTATTTAACTGTTCAGATCAAAACACCACTTCAAACTAGCCTTATGGGGCCTCTTGGACACATACATAGCAGTATGATATAGCAGGTGTCAGGCTACCAAAATATGGAACTTTATCTAACAGTTTCTGCAGTACAGTAATTTTCTAATGACAAAAACATTGTGATTCTCATTGTGATTCTGAAGTATTTTCCCATTTACCTCAGACCCAATCTTGGCACCATGGAGTGATCCATATCTCCTTCCCTCAAAAACTCCAACACAACTGCCTTCAGCATACCCCTCCTGATACCCTTCACCATGAAACCTGTGAAGACAGAAGGATAACTTTTTTGTCAGCCACTTTCATATCAGTCACACTGCATACAAGCAAGTTCCAGGAATAAAACCATGCAAAAAAAAAAAACACAAAAGAAAAAACCAAAAACCACCTCCAAAATGCAACTACCCATATTCAGATACACAATATTGGTTTAAATTAAGATTCAATTACACATTCTGTGTTCTTTCCAAACATGTTTATAACAATTTGCCAAGAACAATAAACTCCACAGTGCAGATCAACACTTTCACCAAAATAACACTACAAACTACAAGCTCTCAACTCTGGTTCAGGTTTCCACATGGTGGAAGAGCCCAGATTGCACAGGTCGGTCACTCAGCAACAGCAAAGAGGAGAATTTTGGCCTAGGAATACAGGTAGTAGGGATGTGGTGGCACTGAAATGCCACACACCTGTGGGGAGCTCAGCTTCTACCCCTTGACACTGAACAGGCTCCACATGCAAATGCAGAACCAGGGGGCTGGTTGAGCTTGATGATCACGAAGGTCTTTTCCAACCCAGTTGATTCTATGATTTTAATTTCCCCCACTCTTCTCCTTCCTCACCCCCTCCCTGGACTCATTATGGAATCACAGAATCAAACAGGTTGGAAAGGACCTTTAAGATCACCAAGTCCAACCGTTCCCCAGCACTACCAAGGCCATCACTAAACCATGGCACTGAGGGCTTCGTCTACACGGTCTGTGTACACTCCCAGGGATGGTGACTCCACTACTGCCCTGGGCAGCCTGTTCCAATGCCTGAACACTCTCTGGGGAAGAAACTGTTCCTAATCTCCAGTCTAAACCTCTCCTGGTGCAGCTAAAGGCCATTTCCTCTTGTCCTGTCACTTGTTCCTGGGAGCAGAGACCAGCCCCCTCCTGGCTCCATCCTCCTTTCAGCTAATTGTAGAGAGTGATAAGGCCCCCCCTGAGCCTTCTCTTCTCCAGACTGAACCCCCCAGTTCCCTCAGCGGTTCCTCATCACACTTGTGCTCCAGGCCCTTCACCAGCTCCGCTGCCCTTCTCTGGACCTGCTCCAGGACCTCAATGTCTCTCTTGCAGTGAGGAGCCCAGAACCAACACAGGATTCGAGGTGCAGCCTCACCAGTGCCGAGCTAAAGCCCTGACCTCACTCCTTTTACCCCCCTTCACCCCTCATTTTTCTCTTCTCAACTCCTACCGCGGACTGCAGACGTCCAGGACTAGGCCCAAGGCTAAACCCGGGGGTCCCCTCCCTTTCTCCCGCTCCGTCGACCATTACCCACAGCAGCTCCGCCGGCCCCACAACGTCCCTGGGCTCCAGCCAGAGCACCCCGACCCACCGCACCTCTCCTCGGCCATCACGATCTCCTCAAACATGTCACGGCCCACCGTCACAGCCGCCATCACACCGCCACCAATCGCAGCCTCTGGGCATGCCGGGAAACGACGGCGAGCCGGAGGGGCGACGGCTGCTCCAGTGCGCAAGGGCGTAACCCCGCCCCTCCCCCCGCCGCCTGAGCTCGGCGAAGACAGAAGGCGTGGCCTGAACGTGCTCTGACCACGCCTCCTTGCGTCTGCTCCCCCCCCCCGGTGAACGGCGGCGCGGCGGCAGGGGGCGCCCGAGCGCCACCGCCGAGTCGGGGACGGAGGAACTGCTGGTGCTGGAGGGGTTGCGCTTCCATCTACCCCTCCGGCTCCGGCACAAGCCGGTGTGGCGTTGTTCGGAGGTGGTTCTGAGCTTCAAGTCGTGTATTTTTGATGTATATACCCCAAAACGCATGATGTAAATACCTGAATCAAGCTTCATCGTGCTTTCTAGACGGCTTTATTACACGTATTTGGTATTATCGATCCACACTGGTAACAGGAAGAGTTTATACTCATTTATAAGCATATATTTTCATGTTAACTCACTGTTGTATTACATTCTTTAGTGAAAATGTGGCTTTAGGCACACAGAAGCCAATCCCAGTAGAGGTACAGCAGGTCTGTTACCCTCCAAACCAAGCACAGGAGAGAAGAGGATTTGAAAACACAGCTTTAAAATCCAGAGGAGGGTCTAAAGAGAAAAACTACATTAGAGTGAAAGTAAAGTCGTGCTGCTAAAGGTTTAGATAACTAGATACAACAATCACAGGATCCCAGACTGATTTGGATTGAAGTTCATCTAGTTCCAATCTCCTGCCACAGGCAGGGACACCTTCCACTGGACTGGGTTGCTCTAAGCCCCATCCAACCTGGCTTTGAACACTGCCAGGGATGTGGAAGCCACAGCTGCTCTGGGCAACCTCTGCCAGTACCTCACCACCCTCACGGGAAAGAACTTCTTCCTTATATCTAACCTGAACTTCCCCTGTTTCAGTTTAAACCCATTACCCCTTGTCCTATCAATCCCAGTCCATTAAAAATGCTCCACCACAGCAGGCTGTCCTGATTTATCTTGAGTGACTGTAGTGAGCTGGCCAGTGTGTTTTCTGCATTAATTTAAAGTGTAGATATCACTGTATCTCACATAAAAACACTGAAGATTTGTTAGGTGTGTATACCAATCTGCTTTACAACCACACAATCACAAAGATACACTGTTCAATGAGGTCAGTGGGAATATCAGGTGTCCCAAAGGTTTCCTCTAAGCTAATAGCTACAGCTTAAATCTTTCTTTGGATGTTAATGGAATGGTTCTTTGATCTCAGTAGACCGTGGGATTGATGGAAAATCCTGAAAATATGCCTTATGCTTCCCAAAAGGAGGGTTGGTTTCCATAACATTTTTGGGAAAAGAAAGTGTAGTTCTTTCATTTGTTGTTCTCTATCCATATACAAAGTACTCTGTCAGGGTAGAAAGAGTACTCCCAAATTTTCCATGAACATCATTTCAGTGCTTTCAGCAGAGGTAAAGTTGATATTATGGCTCTTGAATAAAGGATTTATAGCTTTTTACACTTCTTCAATGTGGAAATGAAGATGCCCAGAATCTCCTTTCCTACAGTCTTCCCGCTATTTTAACACCTTGTATTTGCACATCATAGCTTCTAATTGAGACTTCACAAGGGGACAGTTGACACCTGATCTTTAAAAACCTTTTAAGGCTGTAAAAATGTACTGTTGCAAATGAAAGCACTGCAATTGTCCTGCTGGCTTTGAGAAATGATGATCAGCTGGGAGGTATATGGTGAAAGGTGGAGGTGGTGTTTACATTCCCACAGAACCAAAGGCAGTGGTGTGTCGAGGTTTTGCACAGCAAGTTCCTGACCAAGTCAGGTGCCTGATGGTAGGGAAAGCATTTTCCAGTAATCCTTCCAACTCAAGCTGTGACCATTCCAGATTTTATAAACAAAGCAGCCAGGTTTAGTCAGAACTTGGATGAGAAATCTCCAAGGAAAACTAAAGTGTTCCAGGAAGCGGTGTGGGTAATTTAGCTCCTGGCATCTTCCCTCTGTCTGAATAAATATTCAACCAACCTCTAACTATCCTGTTGCAGTAAGAAATGTACTTCTGCGAGAAGATGCAAATCCAGAGTTCTCAGCAGAGTCACTGGAGAGCTCAAGATGCTGTTTAAAAATGTAAGGTCACTCATCTTTGTGCTCTTGAGCAATATCCATGAACAACGATGTTACATCTACTGAAAAGATCTCTTTCTGGTTAAATTAAACAGTTTACCCTCTATTTGCTGTGTTTCCCATTAAAACTGTTTGGTTTCTTTTTAGCAGAAAATTAAAAGTAAATCTTTGCTGACCAAACATTAAAAGCACATATTTATTTTGTTTTCTGATTTTTGCTTCTTAAAAAAAAAAAAAAAGTCTTGAAAGGTATCTAATATTCAAAGACAATACAGTGCCTGATCAAAACTGGGAAAGAAAACCAGAAACTAGAATGTTCCAGGCCTGAAAACTTCCGGAATTAACCAACTTGCATGTGGCTGGATGGCTGCATGCAAAGAGTTGTGGTCAATGACTCAATGTCCAGCTGGAGACCAGTAACGAGTGGTGTCCCTCTGGGATCGGTGTTGGGACCAGTCCTGTTCAACATCTTTGTGGGTGACATGGACAGTGGGATTGAGTGCGCCCTCAGCCAGTTTGCTGATGACGCCAAGCTGTGCGGTTTGATTGATACGCTGGAGGGAAGGAATGCCATCCAGAGGGACCTTGACACCCTTGTGAGATGGGCTGATGCCAACCTTATGGAGTTTAACCATGACAAGTGCAAGGTCCTACTCCTGGGTCGGAGCAATCCCAGGCACAGCTACAAGTTGGGCAGAGAAGAGATTCAGAGCAGCCCTGTGGAGAAGGACTTGGGGGTGTTGGTCAATGAGAAAATGAATGAGACAGCTTCAGTGTGCGCTTGCAGCCCAGAAAGCCAACCGTATCCTGGGCTGCATCAAAAGGAGTGTGACCAGCAGGTCGAAGGAGGTGACCCTGCCCCTTTACTCTGCTCTTGTGAGACCTCACCTGCACTGCACTGGAGTGAAGTTCTGTCCTCAACATAAAAAGGACATGGAACTGTTGGAACAAGTCCAGAGGAGGGCCATGAGGATGATCAGGGGACTGGAGCACCTCCTGTATGAAGACAAGCTGAGAAAGTTGGGGCTGTTCAGCCTGGAGAAGAGAAGGCTGCGTGGAGACCTCATAGCAGCCTTCCAGTATCTGAAAGGGGGGCTGTAGGGATGCTGGGGAGGGACTCTTCATTAGGGACTGTAGTGATAGGACAAGGGGTAACAGGTTAAACAGCGGAAGTTTAGATTGAATATAAGGTGGAAGTTCTTCCCTGTGAGGGTAGTGAGGCACTGGAATGGGTTGTCCCGGGAAGCTGTGAATGCTCCATCCGTGGCAGTGTTCAAGGCCAGGTTGGACAGAGCCTTGGGTGACATGGTGTAGTGTGAGGTGTCCCTGCCCATGGCAGAGGGGTTGGAACTTGATGATCTTAATCTCCTTTCCACCCCCAACTGTTCTATGATTCTATGATTCTAACTTGAAAATCAGGACTACATCTCCCAGTACACGAGGAGCAGGAACCCTCCAAATGTGTGGCAGTGGCTCAGCTGAAAGAAGACTGGGAAACACCACAAGAGGTGTTTTCCAGCCAAGATATCTGCAATTCTATGACTCACAGAATTTCCAAACAAAAAGCAACATCTTTTTCAGGCAAAAAAAATAACCCCAGTTTTCTCCCTGGCTGAGTGTGGTTCCCATTTGTAAAAGGAAGCAGCCTTCCACGTACAGGATTTTTTTAATTTTGCAGGTAAACTTAGCACAGCTGAAGAGAAATCAGAGAAAACACGCCTGGTAGGGATTTTTTGCATCTCCCCAAGGAATAACCTCCTGTGGGCAGCTGGGGCTTAGTGCTATTTTCTGTGTCAGACACCTTGAAGGCTGTGTGAATGACATGGCAGGGTTTAATGACATAAATGGAATATGAAAGGGATATTTTATAGAATAGATGCAAATCCACAGTTGAGGATGTCTACAGGCAGCGTGCACCTGCCTCAATCTACAAGTACCTGAAAGGAGGTTGTAGTGAGGTTGGTGTTGGTGATGTCTCTGAAGTGACAAGTGATAGGATGAGAGGAAATAGCCTCAAGCTGTGCCAGGGGAGGTTTAGACTGGATATTAGGAAAAAATCCTTCACCAAAAGGGTGGTCAAGCATTGGAACAGGCTACCTAGGGCAGTGGTGGAGTCAGAATCCCAGGAGGTATTTAAAAGACATGTAGATGTGGTGCTTAGGGACATGTTTTTTTTTTTGTGGTGGACTTGCCAGTGTTAGGTTAACAGTTGGACTAATGATCTTAAGGGTCTTTTCCAACCTAGATGGTTCTATGAATCTATTCTATGATTGAATTAGGAAGAATAGAAGGACACACACACTTAAAGCTGAACTCATTTGTTATATCAGGAGAATAATAGATTAGAACTAAATGGAGTGACCTTCACATATTGCAAGGTCAAAAATTAACAAGCTGTTTCCAAAACCCTCCTGTAACAGAGATACTTTTCTTAGACTTGCTATATCACATGGAGCTCATCAGTAACTGGCAGCAGACAGGCTTGAATTCCAGCCTTGGCATTCACTGACTAGCTTTGGGAAAACCCCTTTGTCTCTCCTGTTCTTGCCTGTTGTGGCTCAACTATGCCACCTTCACAGGGACTCCACATGGAATGGAGCCAGATGTCACAGTTTTCTAAAGCTTCTTCAAGACTCTAGACTAAAGGAGTGACAAGAGACTCAGCTAGGTTTCTGTGTTGAAGATGATTTTCTTTTTATTGCAAATGTTCACATGACACTACTGATGATGCACAGAAATTCAAAAGGCTATTGTTTGCTAAAATTGCATTACAAAACTCCACAAAATTTGTTACAACTAAAAAACCCACCTTCAGCAGTATATAAATAGAATTTTGAGCATAAATAATAGTAACAAAATAAACAGATGTATGTATTCAATAAATTAATTATAAATATTGCATTGGCAATGAAGTGCTAGGTCAGATGAACACCAGTATTTCCAGTCGAGCTTGGTTGTTTTTTTTTTATAGAAATCTCTATTATAAATGATCCTTTGGAAACAAGTAGAATCCCTGAACCCCTGTTTCACATTGCTTTTTGTTTCTTTTTTTCTTTGGTTATTCCTTTGTCAAGTTGTTTCAACAGAAGAACAGAACTGAAGACATTAGAAGTCCACGTTAGGTACCCCTAATTCCTTCTTACAAGAAGAGCGGCCTGGCTGATGCAGTTCTGTGGCACTGAAGTCACTAAACTTGTCTCACCACTGATTCCCAAGGATGCAGAATCAAGCCTGGAAGGGACTTGAAAGAACTACTAATGGATAAAGGTTAAACACAAAAACCTACTTTGCAATTGATTTGACCTATACATCATCCATTTTCAGTCTTTCTCTCCATTTGCTAATAACATACATGCTTATATACAACAGGACCTTAATTAAACATTCTAATTTGAATGGCTCATTCCCTATCTGATGAACATAAATGCTAGTTCTGTGCACACTATTCCAGACACACAATGAATCCTCACTAATGTTAATGAGAACTCTTTGCTGGATGATGCTGATGCCACAATGAACATAAATTAGCCTATAAAGGAAATCAAAGATCCAGTTTTCCAACATACCCTTTAGCAATAAGGGAAAGAAGAATCTATTTCCCTTTCCTCCCTTATTTCCTAAGGGAAGAAAAAGCACAATATACAAGCAAAATTTTTTTTTCAGTGGTATGCTTTCAATAGAAAGTTGTCAGCAGCTTCTCAAGAAACAGCTTTAAGTCTAGTTCAGGCAACTGCATTTGCTAGGTTTTCTTTAATCCTGTTTTGTTCCATATGTTTGTCTTTAAGGCCTCCAAAGATGAAAAGATTTTCTCCTATGAGCTACAGAAATAACAGGTGAACATATGTAGTAATGAAGTTGATGGAGAAAAACTCTAGCTATTTTGTCATCACCCCAGTAATGGAGGGACTTCGACAAAGCTGCTGAGCTTTTATTTTATCCTTCTTTTCCAGATGAAACTATGGCTAGGCAATTCTTTAGACTATGGAATAGCCTCTGGGCACTCATCTCTTGCAGGTACCACATACTGCAAGAAAAAGGCTGTCTCCATACTGAAATACACAAAAAAGTTGGACATATCACTACAGGAAAAGCTAAAAACCCAGCAGTATTCTGTGTTATTTCTTTAAAAACACGTGTGTGTGTGATCAGAGTCATTTCTGAAAGCTGGGGCTCTTCACTGGTAACAGTTTGGAGGTGATACCAAAGGGGTCCATGCTGTCTGTTTCCAGAGGTGAAGAATACACTTCTGGTTCAAAGGCCTGACTGTAATCACCATATTCACCAAAGTCTGTTGATTCCACAGGCACAGTGTTGATCATAGGTAAAAAGTGAGACAGTGGAAGAAAATCTTTCCCTTTGAACTGCTGTCTTTGCTTGGCACTACTCAAAGACACCGTTATTCCATATTTTTTTGATCTATATACATTGTAGCCGTCTGGACGAATCTCCTCTTCAAAGGAACAATCCTCTGTGGAATACCTGAGCTGAACAGCAAGGAGTAATGAGAGTTACAAATGCACCCACCAGACTCATTGCATTCAACCACAGCATAAACCTTTGATGCAAACAGCCCTTCTCCCTCTGCTTTCAGTGAGGGTGTCCTTCTGGCCTGTCATGGGTGCTCCAATTTGGGGCACCTTGCAGACCCCACTGCCAGATCCATGCTGGTGAGCTGCCTCTCTGCCTGCCTGCTGCAGGGATGCAGGTGGGACCTATTGTGCTGGTGACAGTGGTGGGCCACAGCCACCAAGAGGAAGTGCCCTGAGGTGGTCAGGCAGTTGGACTAGATGACAGTTGTAGGTCCCTTCCAACTGAAATCATTCCACTCTACTCTACTCAAGCTCTCTACCTTGCATACAACATTCATTCTGAGTTACGAGGCCATTAAAAGACCTAATCCCACGCTCCTGAAGTTAATACATGTCCATCACACTAAATAATCTTTGAATCCTGGGTGTGGACTTCTTCACAGCTATGACACTTATCCTGCCCTGAGCACAGGGAAAAAGTCTCAGATGACAGCATTCATTTAGATAAAGTGTCCTTAGTGGCTGACAGTACTTAACTGCAGTCATGAGACCTAACCCAACAATCCTCAGGTATAAACCTCCAGGCTCTGTTAAGGCCTGTGTAAGGGCTTCAGGATCAGGTCTGTAGAAAGGCAGTGCTGTCAAAGACAGCACTTACACAAGCAAACATGTCCAATCAGTACAAATTTGAAGGGTAAGATTCAGATTTAGTGTGTAACTAAAAACATAATTGCCTTTCTTTCTATTCAGCATTTATTGAAATTACAAAAGACCAGTTAATGCAGTGTTACAGTCTCATTACACCTTAGAACTATCAAATAAATACAAGTTGTTAAGATTTTATATAGAAGAAGACATTTTCTTAGGTATGAATTTGTAGAATTACACTTGTGACATTCTGTACAGATAGTACCTTAGGATTTTGTGTCAGAGCTTTCCAGATCCTTACACAAGCATTGCGTTTCTTACAACTCTGGTGCTATTCCAGGCTCAGCCACCACGGGTGACTGAACTTGTGGTCAGTCAATAAAAGTCAATTGCTGATTGTGTCTCAGTCTGAAGTGATAAAAGTGTCCTCACATGAATGCTCTGCCTGTCTGCATAGAGAACATACTTGTTGCTCTTCAGTCCTAGTCAAACACCCTCAATAATATGTAGTGCAACTAAGTGCATGCATTTGGTAATCTTTTAAAAATAGTCTTCAAATGCATCAAATAATTTTAAAAAGGCATTTTCTCAAAATAAAATGATGAATACTTATCCTTCTACACACACTGTATCTCAGAAAAACGTGTGTATATGATACAAATCTATTAATTGCTGGTTGAATAATTAGCTGTCTTTATAAGAGCTCAGTCTCCCTAGCAAGGATGATGAAATAAAGAAGCTTCTTGAGCAAGTGCACTTTCCAAATAGCAGTTATTGATTGTGCTCCCCATGCCTCAACTGTATAATTCACTTTTCATATCACTGGAATTGACTCTAGCATTACTTTTTAAAACAACTACCAAATGCACTTTAACTATTTCCACATTATGGTTTTGGTGTTTTGTTGTTTTTTTTTTCCACGGGAGGGGTTTACAGCCTGTCAGTATCTCCAGATTTCCCTCTAAACTACTAGTTGCAGCACATCACACATTAAAAAAACAGCTCTAGTCATAATTTTTCAAGTGTTATAAAAGTGGCATGTTGCAGGAGTGAATAAGGTTGACCAGTTTGGTCCCCAAATGCCATATTTGCCCTGGCAGCAGAGAGGTGACAGCACATGTCCACAGCATCATATAAATGTGATGGCATGGTTACATGCCATTGTATTTTGAGGAAAAAAAAAAAACACCAAAAACCAAAACCCCTGTGATTAATACTCTACACCAACAAACACAGTCTCAGTCAAGGCATGTATGTCTTCAAAACAGTGTTGAACAAATGCTGGTTTTAAATTCTGGGACTCTTGAAGTCCAGCTGGCAGCTCCAATGGGAGCAGGTTCCAGGCTCAGCTTTGTTTTCATTGATCATTTTGCTTTGGATATGCATTAAAACATTAAGCTAATAATTGACCTGACATATCATCGGAACCTCTGCACCTTATCACTGTATTGATTGATTCTAGCCCAGAAAAGCAAGAAAATTCAGGAAGAAAGGCTTAGTTCTATGTTACATATGCATTCAAAACCATCACTATATCAGTACCACTTATTAAAGATGCTGGGAGTTTTGAGAATGGGCCAGAGAAGTCAAAGCAGAATCAAACTGTATCTTTACCATGCACAATAAGAAGCCATCGCTCTGTGAAAATCAGGCTTCCATAAAGCATTTAAACACAGACTGAACCTGAATCTTAGCCTTCACATCCTAGAGCTGGCAACTTCTCCTTGTGGCTTAAAAAACAGAAAACAAAAAAGTTTATATCGCTGGTGAGGGCTAGCTAATGTGTTGACATACCCAGGGGAAAAGAGTGACCTAACATCAGTGGATCGCTCAGCTCTTCAACCTCTCAGAGTCCCTCAGGTGTGTTGCTATCACAACGGAGGAGAGTCCTTTCCCTCGAAATCCCGTTTCTGCTTGGTATTACCTAAGAGATGGCAACTCCATCCTCTGGGATGTGTGAGCCTGCCAGCCAGTTGGCTGCATCTCATTTCCACATGAGTAATCTGGGGTTTTTCCTTTTGGTTTTCGTTTTGCAGAATGACTGACCTGAACTATGAGAAGTTATTCAGATTCTGTGGTGTGACTTAGACTACTCTTGCAACAGGAACGCAGCCACTTTTTGGGGGATATAAATGCAGTTTTGCCATGGTCTGTATTTTCAGCCTATTTTGGCAGGAAGCATGCAGTACAGACTTTGCTTTCTAGCTGATATTTCCTTGCTGCCTTCTAACAATCCTCACGGCGCTATCAGTGACAAGAACCACCTATCGTATAGAAAAAAGGGAAGCGGGGGGGACGACCTGTAAGCTTTGTTAACCCGTTTTACTAACTGCACAATAAGAAAACTACGGCAGCCCTTTGGTCACGCCTGCCTTTTCAAGCGCGGCGACCTGAATAGAAATCTCCCTCGGGGAAGGCGAACCCGGGACAGAGCCGTCGGGAACCGGGGATCTGGTTCGGGGTGGGAATAGCAGCTCACCTGCCCGTGCAGCCGCCCCGCCTCGTCCATGCAGAGGTAACGGGAGCTTCGCACGCCCTTGATGGCCACGGTACGCACGGCCACTGCGCGGATCTCCAGCAGACCTGCGGGGCAGAGGGAAGAGAGGCATCAGCTCCGCGGCCCCGTCCCGTCCCGCTCCGGTGCCACCGCTGCCGGTACTCACTCTGCGGACTCTGGCTACCGGCGGCATCTACCCGGCCGTCGCCTCCGATCCTCAGGAAGCAGCTGAAGAGCCCGTGCTTGCTGGCGGTGTAGAGGTGCCGCAGCCGGATCGGTTCCCCCCAGCCGTAGTTAACATGCGGGCCGGCGTCGGGCAGCGGTAGCGGCACCGCGGCGGCGGCGGCGGCGAGACCCAGCAGCGCCAGGGCTGCGGGGCGCGGCCCCATGCCGCTGCCGGGGAGAGCGAAGAAGCGCGAAGCGGCAGGGAGCGGAGCGGCAGGAAGCGTCGCTACCTTGCCCTGGCTGCGCCTCGGGGATGAAGCGTAGGTGAAGACAGCCCCCCGGCCTTTTATAGCTCTCCGTTATCAGCCCGATCGATTCGGCTGCATCCAGCTCCGATACAGAACTCATTTCACAGAGGGAATTGGTCGGATAGGTAGGTCACTCCCCCTGAAAACATTGATCGGATGACATCATTTCGCAGGGGACACCCTGAAGTCTATCCTTCCTCATCCGCACCTCCAAGATTTCCACCCACTTCGAGCCTCCGGCAGCGCCTCTCTGTGCGGTCTCGGCTGCCACGAGGGGACGGGATGGGGTAGGACGGGACGGGATGGAATGGGACCGGGGACACTCTCTGTCCCGCAGCCCCAGGGAAGCGGTACGGGGATGTTCGTATGTAAATCCAAACCCGTGTGTAAATCTAGACCCTTGTGTAAATCCGAACCAGGGAGGGGGGGGAGGCTGCTCTCGCCCTTCTCGCCTTAGCTCCTTGCCCTCCTTTGTTTCTCTTTTTAGAAATTCGCCTTCAGGAAACGCGTTTTAAACCTCGGGTCACCTCCCAGGGCAGGGGCTGTGGATGCGCGGCACCACCGGTCCTCGTTACCGGCAGCCGGTGGGGCACCCAGCACGGCCTGATATGGTGCGGCCCCTGCACGGCGCCCCTGGGCGGCCAGGCTCTGCTTCCCGGGCTTCCTTGACGACCGGTCATCCCCGGCTGTGTCACTAGATGGAGCCTGGTACCTAGGCTGCTGGGCTGGCCTGGACCCGGAGGAGCTGCTGCCCGGGGCTCTGCACCTCCTCTTGGAAAGGTGGTGGAGTCACTGCCCCTGGAAGTGTTCACAAACCGTGTACACGAGGCCCTTAGTGCCATGGGTTAGTGGTGGCCTTGGCAGTGCAGGGGAATGGTTGGACTCGGTGAGCTTAAAGGTCTTTTCCAACCTGGTTGATTCTGTGATTCCATGATTCTATGATTCCTGCTCCTGTACAGAAAGATTAGAGAGGGGGGGGAAGTGTGTAGGAAAGCTGCATTGCTTGGCAGGCAGCATCAACTGATCTATCTGATATTTTTTACTGGTCTGTGAGTGGACTTTTTCCATACAGGTTCCTCTCCAGAGTGTCGCTCAACGATGGAAAAAAGCAGATACGCACATTTTGGCTTGTTCCATGCTTTTTGCATCTCAGGGGGATTGCTGCTGACTTTTCTGCTACCATCCAAACTGAGTATTAAAGAGATTTTCTCAGATCTCGATAAATAATAATTTCATAAAGAAAAAAGAAATCCCTCCTCCACAGTACATGTTAAATACCCCATTGCCCCCAGCAACATTTCTGAATCAGCAGTTTCAGTCAGTTTCCACAGACTGTTCTTATAATTTGCTACCTTTTACTTCCATCCTTTTATGGGTACAGATACATCTCCTTCCTGTAAACACTCACAGAAATAACTTTTCTTTCTGAGCAATCTTAGCTCAGTGAGACTGTGACAAGGTCACCCCAAAATAAAGAGTCCTGGAGACTGATGGCCTGCACTTGTATAAGTGCTTACATTTACCATGTGGAGCTTATGGTGCTGAAGTTAATGACATCAATCAAGCAGAGTTTGAATCATCAGGGTCTTGCATCACAAGATGCATCCTGGTGAGAGGCATTGTATGTCACCAACCGTTTCAAAAGCAAATACTGATTTTTATTTCCTCTCTGGGGTTTTGATGGTCAGCTTGAGACACCCAAAAAGGAGCCTTCTCTGCATGATTGTAATTAATAAAGATCAGGAGCACTTCACTTTTGGGTGTCTCATGCTGCAACCTGCAAACCAGGCTCTGGTTGGGAAACTCTGGCCCTTCAAACATTGCAGAAGCTCACAATGTTATAAACCCAGTAAATAATACGAAGGCATCCAAGACCCTATTTTTTTTTCTCCTGCACAGAATTCTGCAGTCTTATTACATGGCTGCTACAAAGGCAGTTCACTGCCCTGCAACCGTGGGCCCCACAGCAGTTGTGCATGTAACTCATCCTGACTACATATGCATTCTTCAAGATATTGAGCACCCACCACACGCAGAGGTTATGCTCTGAAATGAATCTGAAAGGTCTTTTTGGCTCATTTTGTGGTGCATCTCAGTGAATAGATGCTATTTTATGATTGATCTTTCTGCTATACTATACTGTGAATAATATTCACCATCATGCATATTCATTTTTTCTATGATTGTATAATTTTCTTCCACAAGAAGACAAATACCTTTCCATCAGTAAGGAACTGATGCTAGCAACTTGTTTATTCATTTGGGCAGCATTATTATTCCTTTGTGAAGGTAAAATAGAGGCAGAAAAGGCAAATCATTTTCACAAAGTGATATTTAAAATCAATGAGAAAGCTGGCTATAAGTGAGAATTTCCTGATGATGGAGAGATATTAAAAGTTGCATTCATTGTTGCTATTGCTGATATTACATGGACTGATGTTTAAAGGTTCATATCAAATCAAACCAAAATGAAAATTAAGCACTTACTTTACTAAATTTTTTGGAATGGCCTCTCTTGTTATAGGGAGCTTTCAACATAAATCACTTGTCCAATTTCCTTTGCAGTTAGTGACAGAGGTAAGTGCCTCCAAGTACTTATCTGGACTGGATAGTACCAATCCTATCTCAGAAGAGCTGTTTAAGAGATATGGGTTAAATAATCTCTGGAAGTATATATTTCTTTAACTGGCTCTGGGAAAAAAGCCTAGATGATTAATTCAGATTAAGTACCTTTTCTTTATCTAGAGATAAATGAGCTAATGAATCTCACTGTTTTCAAGATGTAAGAGTTGTGACATATGATTTTCATTTTAGTTCCTTTCTGTGTCAGTGAACTTTCTCATTTATTTAATCTTTTTATCAAAGTTCAATAGAAAGACACATGTCTTGGCACGTTCCTACAAATGTATTTGCAGAACAAATGTATATAGGGTAAATCACACCATCATTTCCAGAGCTGGACCTGCTCCCTCTATGAACAGAGCCTGCAACAAAAGAAACCTGGTAGTGTAGGACTTCTTGCTTTTGTGAGGATGGGAAAGGGGGGAGAAGGTTTATAGAACAAAAATACCTCCTGACTAAACAATACACAACTGCAAAAGCATTTTCACCTGTTGTAATGAATCATTTATTTTCACTGCACTTTTCAATGTCCCAGCATAATTTCTGCAGAACAGGAACATCAACTTTCTGTTAATGGATGTGTTTTGGATAAACATAACTACCTATATTTAAAAGTCAAACATCTAGAGATCCTGGAACATGCCAAAAAGATAACAGAGGGCTTGTGCCTCACCGGGCAATAACAACCCGGGAACTAGCAGAAATGAAACTAAGGAAGTTGCTGCAAAAAAGGATCAGAAATAAGGCATGAAGCCGCCCATGAGTAGAAGATTGTCATATGTTACCTTGTGGTGGAGATCAAAGACAAAATTACGTAGGTAAGTCACTCAAGGCTGAATGAGGGTCAAAATGTGATGAACTGGATGGGCTCAGGATGAAGCAACATCTGCTCAATAGTAGAATAACTTCAGAATATCATGGTGAAAACTTTCTACTATATAAGGCACTGCAGAAAGAGTAAAATAGTAAAGAAACTTTAAAGAACGTATAACATGAATGTGATCCAATAGGGCTTTTAAGGAGAGATTTGTGTTTCCTCCTCTTCTCTGAAGTCAGAAGTGACAGAATTACAGAGGCTGTAAATACCCTGAGGGAAGTAAGGTCCCAAGCAGAGCTGGAGATGGAGTCCTTTAGTTTCTGATTTCTGCTGTACTTCCTGCATGTCATCCCAGAAGTGACAGAAGAAAGCAAGCCTTTATTTTCCATGTGGCAGAGGGCCAGCAGAACTGTCCAATCCTTTCTTTTGCTTCTGGTAAGGAAGAGTATGTCAGGCAAATGAGGGAAGGCAGAAGTGAAGACATAGTACACTGTGATATGCAGTTATTTGAGTACAAGGTTGTTCTATAAAGAGCCTTATCAGCCCAGCACTAGTTAAAAAAGCCTGCCTAAGAAGGAGAGGTTACTCCACTATATGTCAAGGACTGGTCTGTTTTCCAGCTGCTTCTGCAATCCAAGAGGCATAAAGGTGACAATATTTCTCCCTGGGCTGTGAATGAGTGCAGAATTGAGATTCCACAGCTCCTGCTGTGTGCACCCACTGACAGGATGTCATACAACAGGACAAGCATTCACAGAGGCTCTCCACAGCTATCACAAGTGTAATAGTCCTCAGTGAATCTGTAGGATCCAAATACATTGGATACTTGAAGATTTTTCAAATGACCAACTTCCAGAGAGCTTGATCCTCTTCTCAAACTGCTCTGCTAAAGAAGGTCAACGTGCTGGAGAGAGCGTTGCTACTGTGATTTGTAGTTGCATGTGTAATTACTGGTTCTTTCCAATGAACAGACAACTAATTTCAAATATCTCTCACCATTCTGTTATCTAATGCTTACTTAACTATTGCTATCAGTTAATGCATTCCCAAGAGCAATACTTAGCCTGGAATTGACTTGTAGCTTTCATGGCCAAATGATACCTTCTGATTAAGTCTACTCTAAAGCTCACAAAAGTCCTGTCAGTTTCAAAAGGCCTAAATGCTTATTTTCCTCACTGGAAGTTATTTCATTCTTCAGACATACTTGATCCACATCATCTTTTCTGTGTGCTAGGAAATCCTTTGTCATCCTGATACAGAAGAAGCTTATTGATTTTCTGGGAAGGTATTTGGTACAATAGCTCTGCAACACCTTGTTTATACTAAACCAACAGAAGCTGGTTTTTTTCCATTACTTTCTGAGCAAAACTGCATCCTGCAGCAGAAATTAATAATTGCAAGTTTCTTTGCCAGTAGCTTTCATTTTCATTTTGAGTTTGACCTAGGGAGTAATGCCCTGGACTTTGCCTCTGCAATGTGCTCGTGAAAACCATGAGGAAAGCTTTTTCAGGCAAGAGTAATTCTAGATCACCAGCTTCTTGGTCAAAAGTGGTATCCATGGAGCATTTACCACTACTCTTTTCTTGTCAGTAATTAAATAATGTTGCCCTTATGACAAGTTCCAACTCCACTAGAAATATTTTGGCTTTAAGAGACAGAGAATAGGCAGTAGAAGAAGATGATATACCACAAGAAGAAGGAAATAGATATGCTATCAGAGTTTTGCTTCAGATGCACAAGAGTGCATACTCAGAGATGTGGTCCTGTTCAAATACATCAAAAACACTGGAAAGCCGGAATTAATCAGGTGATTC